ATTAATGCCGCTGAGGATTTATTGCGCTTTTGAGGATTACGAGTGGGGAGGGGGGGGAGGGACTCCGGCCTTAGTGTCGATGCGGGAGACTTGATCCAACTATCAAGTCGGTGGTAAGGGTTGACCTTGCATACGGATGGTGTGATCTATTCGGACAGACTTTATGGCATCGGAAGCCGCTTCGCAATTCCTGCCTCGTCGCCATCCCTGCTTCCCCCGAGGGAGACGCATCGCCTTCCCAAGCGAGAGGCGCGAGAGGCGCACAGGCCCTCGGTGTTGGCGTTCTTCGAGGGCGAGGAGGGAAGGCGACTGCGCGGCGGTCTCGTGGGCGGGCGGCAGCGACGGGCGAGGGAGAGCGACGGCGGCAGGTGATGTTTTGACGCCGATTTAGAGGCCGTTGGGGGAAGGACGAGGGGCGCCGTGAGGGAAATCAGACTGTCGGGGGCGACGCAGGGCCGGGAAGGAATGTGGGCCGTATTGGATATTTATCTTCCCTGGGGGGGGGGGGGGTGAGGCCGACCTTGATCGCCCTGGAGAACGAGGGGGGAGCAGGGCGCCTTGGTCCTCGGCAGCAACTTTTCGACGGCCTCCAAGCACACTGCACCCGATCGCTCGCCCATCACTTGCAAGCTGTGGAAGGAAAGTGTGGAGACTTCGCTGGACGCCTGCGAGTGCGCTGCTCTTATTAGCCGGAGGTCGAGCGCCGGGCTGCTGTAGTCCCTCGCCGAGAGTCTGGGACGGAGGGGAAGTTGCGAGCTGTGTGTGTGTGTGTCTGTTTTGTATTTGTACGTGTATGAGGACGGACGGACGGACGAATGGACCCCCCCTACACACACACACACACACACACACACACGCGCGCGCCCTTCTTCCTCCTCTTCCTATCCCTCCTCTTCGCCTTCTCCCCCTCCTCCTCTTCGCCTTCTTCCCCCCCCCGCTTCCCCCTCCCCCTCTTCCTCCTCCCCCTCCAGCTCTTCCTCATCTTCCCCCCTCCTCCTCCTCTTCCTTCTCCTCCTCCTCCTCCTCCTCTCCCCCTCCTCCTCCTCCTCTCCCCCTCCTCCTCCTCCTCTCCCCCTCCTCCTCTCTCCCCTCTTCCTCCTCTCCCCCCTCTTCCTCCTCTCCCCCCATCTTCCTCCTCCCCCTCCTCTTCCCCCTCCCCCTCTTCCTCCTTCCCCTCCTCCGCCTCTTCCTCCTCCTCCTCCTCCAGTTCTTCCTCCTCCTCCTCCTCCTCCAGTTCTTCCTCCTCCTCCTCCTCCTCCAGTTCTTCCTCCTCCTCCTCCTCCTCCTCCTCCTCCTCCTCGCCTCCTAGGCCGTCCCTTCTCTCTTCCTGACCCGGAGCCCCATTCCCGCGCCCGTCACCGAGCGCCCTTCCTGACGACAGCTCAGCAGTCCCCGCGGGCGGAGGGCATCGGCAAAGGCGTCACGTAGGCAGCAAGTGGGCAAATTGAGGGAGTGTTGGTTAGTATTCTGGCAGCGATTCGGGGCCAAGATTGAGCGTCGGCGCGAGAGTGGGGCTGTCCTCCTGAATCTGTAGAACCCTCGTCGCCGCCACTACCTGTGCTGCGGATGCTCGCCCGCGCCCCATTACCTGGGCCAGAGCTCGGTCCCCGTCACCACGATCAGTTACAGCTCTGTGCCTGTCACTACTGCCTGCGCCAGGGGTATGTGCATGCCACTACCTTTGCGTAAAGTTCGTGATGTCACCACTCCCCGCGCTAAGGCTTTTGTCAGCACTATCGGGCATCGGCACTCTGCTTGACACCACTGCCTTTGCTAGGCTCCGTGCTTGCCCTTCCGTTTGAGCTGCGGGTTTGCTTGCCGCCGTGACCTCTGCTTTTGTGTCTCGTTGAATTTTCAGGGCAGGCAGGGGTTAATTTCTGGCGGCGCAGTGGTAGAGGCGAATGAGGCGTGAGTAAGAGGAGAGAGGAAATGCTGAGGCAAGGGAAGCACGTGGCAAGGACAGTGGTGTGTGCTCGTGTGTGTCCCTCGATGGGGGGTCTGTAGCCTGCATTTCTCTCTCTCTCTCTCTCTCTCTCTCTCTCTCTCTCTCTCTCTCTCTCTCTCTCTCTCTCTCTCTCTCTCTCTCTCTCTCTCTCCCTCTCCCTCTCTCCCTCTCTCTCTCTCTCTCT